AACCTAAACCATTCCGTGATTCTAAGACACCATGAAAATCCCTTTGGCGCCTGGTCCCAGGGCCAGGGAGTGCGGAGGCAGGACTGCCTCCCATTCCAGAGGGAGCCGACCCGCAGCCGGTGCCAGTGCTCAAGTCTCTGTTGATGGTGCATTACGCTGTATACATTGGAACTAGCAAATGCTTCATTGTGATTTTTGGCCACTTGGAATATTTTTAGCAATTTGCCAAGGTTTACCCTGTGATTTATTATGGAGGAAACAAACTCAAGCACTAACAAATGAAAATATGTAAACTCTGACTTTTCAAGTCAATAGAAAGGTATTCAACTTTGTAAGCCCCTTCGGAGGCAGGCAGCTGGCTGTGGATTCGATTGCTGGAAAGAACAGTTTGATTAAGAAGCAACTGAAATGTAACCTAAGTGGTCACATTCAAGTCACTTTGAGATTTACAGTGAAAAAGTCCACATGCACGAGACTTTCCAGTTGTCATTCCCAAAACTGTGTTGTAGATTCGTTGGAAATTCAACGATTTATTGGAGATCTATTTTGTATCACTTTTTTCACTAAGGCCAAAGCACTCCCGGCGTCTATCATCTAGAACTTTATCATCTCAAATTATTGTATTTAGAATCATAGAATGGTTTGGGTTGGAAGGGACCTTAAAGATCATCTAGTTCCAACCCCCCTGCCATGGGCAGGGACACCTTCCACTAGACCAGGCTGCTCAAAGCCACATCCAGCCTGGCCTTGAAGACATCCAGGGATGGGGCATCCACAACATCTCTGGGCAACCTGTCCCAGTGCCTCACCACCCTCTCTGTGAAGAATTTCTTCCTGATATCTAATCTAAACCTCCCTGATTTCTTAAGTTAAAGCCCAGTATCGTGAAAAAAATACTTGAAATAATACAGAGGAAAATAATTTTCATTTAGGACGCTTAAAGCACCGGAATTACCTGCAGATGTAACACTAGATACAGCAAATAACAGTTGTTTTACTACAGCGTTGTTGGGTGGAGAGGTGGGCAAGGTAAGCTTCCATGCTCAGTATGAAAACCCAGCTGGATGCTACAGCCACAAACCTCCAGAACAGCAGAGAGAAAGCTTTATGAAGTGTTAGCAGCCCTCTCAGCATCATCTGTGGTTAAAACACGGAAGCAATCCACAAATAAAATCGGAAGTGTTCGTTTGATATTGAATATCATTTTTTCTTTCATGTTTTCTGAACGGTTCTGCAAACATCAGGAGTGGGATCAAGAGTAAAATAATCTATAATTAAATAAGAAAGGATATTCGCCATTAGAGTACGACTGAGAGTTAAAATATCAATTCTACCTAACCCAGCAGAATACTAGAAGATGCTATTCCCTTCTCAGGGTCAATCTCAAGAGATTAACACCAATTCACTTCTTGTCTGTGCATCTCGTTGCCACTTTTGCCAGTATCGAGCTAGCGCAGTGAGTGGCAAGAACCCCTCTGTGCCTGCCACCACTGCCACTTGGCTGGTGGCATGATGTGGCGACACGCTCGCTTCTCCATCATCTTTTCAGCTGAACAGCCACTCTCTGTCCTTCCCGTTAGAAAATAAGTGACACAAACACACTGCCCAATGACCAAACCCTGGGGGTTTCTCCCCCACAGGTGGACGTGCCGCTTGGACATTCAAAATGCCATTGTGCAAAGCCAACTCGCCCGTACAAAGTCTTTTTTTTTTTTTTGGTTCAAGAAACCCAGCAGAGAACTTCACCGAGCAATTCTTTGTTAGCATAACATTTGACCTTGTATCTCTTTGGAAATCATACAACTTTGCTAATGCAGTCCTTACAGAATTAATCAAGCAGATAGTTAGACCCTAGTTACGACGAACCCAGCCAATTATGAGCAGCACTGAAATTTGTCACTGGCGTGTCCAACTACATTTTCCAACATAAAGATCAACAGAACTGTGGAAACGAGGCCCCACTCTCAGACCTGCACGACTCGGACACCGCAGACCGGCATCGCTAGCAAAGCCTAGGCTTTCAGGAACAGAACAAGCCTTACCTCCCGCGTCTCCATTACCCGCTGCGTGCAAACCGCAGGGCAGCACCGCACCTTTCACCCTCCACTTTGAGTAGTAAAGCCAGACTAAACGATGCACTGGGAGGTCAGAGCTCTTTATTTGCTCTGCTACACGAGATCCATGGTTCAGTAAAGGCCAAGCACACTGCATGGCTCGGTTTGAGGAGTGGCAGGGGGTTCAGAAGCTGCCTATGCAGTTTCTCCCTCTGTTGAAATAAGACAGCACAACTTCCAGAGCCCACGGAAAGATGGCAAGGGTACAGCCAGCAGCCATGTGAACAGATAAGCAAGGAAAAGAAACTCCAGGAGAGCAGGGAAGAGGGAGGGAGAAAGGAGATGGGCACAGAAGGCACCTGCAGTGCAAATGGCTCAGCAGCAGCGTAACTTGGCAGTGCTGGGTTAGCAGTCGGAATTGATGATCTTGAAGGTCTTTTCCATTACACGACTCTACGATTCTCTATTTCGGTGTTTTTAAAGCAGCACAGACTGGAAATGTATCTAGCTAACAGCCTGACTGCCACTGTCAGGTCCAATTTCTATCCTTGAGCAGCGTGCTGGCTCTGCCGCGACACAGGTACTCAAGTGACAGAACACGTTCTCCACCTAGTAAACTGGGAGCAGATGAGATACAAACCCTACTGACTAGGGTTCCCAAACTGACCTAGTTCCCAAAAGGTGACAGCTAACCACCTTCTGACCCTGGCTTGGACGTTAACAGTCACTTTACCTCTGTTCTCATCCGTTCCATTCACACCACGCTACACTACTGGTTTCTAAACCTGGTTTTCCTACAGTCCAGCATGCCTCTCACTGCTCAAAACCTTCACTCAACAAACTTATTTCCTGAGGCTCTCGCACTGCAGGCCTTCCACTTCTACGAAAATAAAATCCACACCCACCCTGTGACAAAGTTTCTCTGGTGCTGAAACGCTGCTCTCAGCAGGGGAGTGCAAGTTAAGCCGTGGCATGCTACGTAAAATACTTCATGCTCCACAAGCATGAGACTGACCAGAGCCTATGGCACCATGGATCTCAGAACTCAGAAAGATCCCAGAAGTCACCTACACAAGCCCCCTGATCGAGACGATACTCACAGCTTTAGCAAAAATGACCATCAGCTCGGGGAACTGGTGCGTGAGGAGGGCAAGCATTGCCGAGAAGGAGCACAGGCCTGCTGTGAAATGGATGAAAAAGGGAAGTTCCTTCTGTGGGTAAACGGAGACTTCGTGAAACGCTGGAAGGAAAAAAGGAAGAATATTGACGCTTGTATTGAGGGGAGTTTTCCCAATTATTTACACAGCCTTGTAACTCGGTTCCGGACTTTCAGAAGGAGTAAGTGTGGAGTCAGGACTACTGCGCTGCACGTTAGGTCCCAGTACTTAACCTTCTCAACAATTTCTCCTCTACACTAAATGCTTGTCTTCGTTGTTAATACTCATGACATCCTTCTCTCCCCAACCTTCTTTTTCACCTGCATGAGCTTTATTTTCAAAGAATTTCATCAGGCTTAGTTTGGCACTTACTCTTTTAAGAGGACAGAGGAAAGAACCATAAAATTCACAAGCTGTCAAGGTTACCTAGACCAACTCAAACAACTCAGGTGTTTTCAACCCTCCGAAGCATTAAACCTGTTACCTGAAGAGAACAGCACATCTCCCTGTCCTGTAAGCAGCTCAGCGAGCACTAAACAACCACCACGTCATATGCACGTGCAAGGCAGCTCCTTAAAACCCTCTGCAAAGATGTCTGGTGGGTAGGCTACAGTAAATGTTTTCAGAGCAGCTGACAGAGCAGACCTCAAAGAAAACAGCACCAGGACTAGGTTATAAATTCTGGACATAGCAGCTCCTTGCAATTTCCAATCTATGGTAACAGAATCCAAAGAAGGCGATTAGGCAGGCTAAGGGCTGGCATATGGAGCTTTCAGCACTCAAGGTACTACTGCTGCTTACTGGCTGCGGACCTGTTTGGTGAAACTGCAATTACTTACTGGCTCTGAAGACCTGCAGCTCTGACTTTTATCCAATGATAAAGTGTTTTTAGATGAAGAAAAATACAGTTTCTATAGACATAAGTAATTATGAAAGGGCTGTGCACTTCTTGACAAGCCTTTTACAAAGCCTAACAAAAGCCTCAAAATACAAATAAGCCTTTTCATAAAGCAAGAAAATAAATTGTATTCCTTGTTAAACTGAAGACTGAGGAGGAAAAAGAGACTTTACCCTCCCAGTCCCTGTTTCTGAGTGCTGGCACTTGCAAGCTCCATCACAAGAACGAGCCCAGCAGACGCGGCTTGTGCTGTTGCAACTCATTAATGGCAAAGCGCTTGGGGTTGGTTTTGCCTTTAAGTACAGCATTTTGGAGCACAACTGAGCAGAACACTTGGAGTTCCGTGCCTAATGCCCATCAGAGATGCTGCACGTTATCCCTGAGGATTATCAGCTCACCTCCTCAACGTGCAAGCGGCCCTGCTAGGCCGTGAGATTCCGCGGGAGTAACACACTCCACTGAGCACCAAAGCAACCACTTGCCTACGACGGGAGGCTGTTACGCTCTCGTGCCATGTACAAACTCACCTGACTTTTAAAGCATGGAGCCATGTAATTTAGGAAAGGTACCAACGTACGTTAGGGACGTTTAAAAAAAAAAAAAAGGATTCCTTTGGCACTGGTGTGCCCTACACTGGGAAATTAAAATGAAACCCAAAGTGGATCAGGACAACTAAAGACACATTCACGGCCGTTTGAGATTTGTTACTAGTCAGACCAACACAGGATTTCTGAATCATTAATTTGGTCAACATTATTTTAAATAGATAAATTTAAAACTAATAAGTGTCAAGATTTCTCAAGGAAATACCGCAATAAAAGTGTTAAGATGATTTTATTTATGGGTAGTTTTATATTTAAAAGGTGGCAGGACTGCGTGAGTGATCGTGTTGAAATATGTGCATGTGTTGGTGTTTAATTATGCTGGGAAGCCTACAATTTAGGGTTAGTCGCTAACCAAGGAATTCCTTGTGCAATATCCTGCATAAGTGAGAAATGAGTAATTTAAAGCAGTCTGGGGGCAAATTTAAATTACACATTTTAAATATAACTTCAGGCTTTTAAATAGAAACGCGTACGTGTAGTTTTCCGTCCCGCAGCTGTGGTCTCGGTGGGTCTGCTGGTGCTTTTGCAGTAGCCCTTTCCAGTCTCGCGGGACTTGCGTTTCTTCGTGATGTAGAAGCTCACCCCCGGAGGAATTCTATTAGCATGTACAATTAACAGCCCAATTCTAATCTAAATTAATGCTGTTTTCCTAAACACGAGGCGCACGGGCCCTAACGATTCAGTTTGTTGCCTTGCCTAAAGAAGAAAACACACAGGCTCATCACTGCATAAAGTAATCTTGAAGTAACAGGCAGCTGGAGACTTGCTTCTCAGTGCCAAGCATTAGCGTAAATCCATAAAGATGTCCCCGTGGATCTCAAGTCCCAGGAGTTGTACTGTGCAGACACTATCTCCCAATGACTCGGTGACAGGAAGCAGTACATCACCTGTGCAGCAACAGGCTCTCTGTAAGATCACAGAGAGGTTCTGCTCGATACCCGGATGCAGGACTGGAACCACGCTTTGCTCCTTGCAGAGAGGAACCGGCTCCTCTACAACAGCCGTCAAATCCATAACTTTTAACAAGTATTTAAAGAACTGGTCCATGTCCTTGTTCTCAGAGTTGGCCAAACTCAGTCTGAACGTCCTACAAGCAGACCATCTCCGAAGGGTTTCCGTTACTCCGGAATCGAGCTGACATTTACCACACACACGCCAAGTGCTTGGGGATCGCTGGGGAGGGGCATCAACAAAGAGCCAAATCCCCTTCACGGGAAGCTCAAGCTAAAATATCACAGTAAGGCAAATACAGAATGCCACAAACCGAGCGTGTCCTTAGCTTGTGGTGTATTATCATGACTGCTTAGAAACCACTTACTTGGCAGCAGTTCTCTGTCAGCTGTTTCTGTGCAGCTCGGATACGGATAGAAAAGATGACCTTTCTCTAACGGGTACGGGATCATCCTAAATGCTGAAAAAGAGAGGGAGTGCCGTTAGATCTGCATCTAAACCGAGCGACCAGCTTTGCACAGAGAGAGCCAATCGTGCCTGCGGTGAACAAAGGCAGAGATCAGTCTACTGTACAGAAAAAGATAAAACCAGGAGGGATACTTACTGCCTTCCCATGTACAGTGCAGCAGATTTAGAGCCCCTTCTATCCTCTTCCAGTGCTGGAGGTGGAAAAAGGCATATGCTACTGCCTCACTGTCCCCTCGCTTCAGAATATGCTCAGGAGGTAGCACTAAGCTTTTCATTTCTAGTAAATACTGAAAGTAAAAGTGGAAAGCACACTGGGTTAGATGGAATATTCCCAGATCTTTAACTGTGAAGCACAAATGATCACTTGAGGCCTAGCTGAGCTTATCACACGGGGGCCAACTTCTACCTACTGAAGACACGGCCCAATCCTGACCCTGTACATACAGCCTGCGCTCGCGTGGGCAGCGAGAAGCAGCACCACGCGCACGAGACTCAAACCCGGGGTTTCACACACAAAATACGTGGCAACACACGAGCATCTTTCCGTAAGGGAAAATGAACCCACATTCTCGTGGAACGCTGCAGGTACGGCACCAAGGAGCTACGTGTTCAGGCTCCTGAAACACCCACCGCGGTAGTTTCGCTCACGTAATCGCCGACGGTTTCAGTGCAGGAGGCTGGGGGCTTGTTAGCTCCCAAGGACAAGTAGCGAACCAGAGCGTCGGTTTGCTAACCAACGGAAGACTAATAAACCCAACCCAGGAAAGCCTTGGTTTGATGTGGTTTTGCTGTACTACCACAGAGCATCTCCGATTTCAGATTTTTTCAGTCTCAGCCTTCTCCCTACATCAGCAGAATCTCTGATGCACCAAGAGTCAAGCAACACAAGGATCAATGGTTTTCCATTTCCCTCCAAACACAGGACATGCAATTTTGTTTCCTGGTGGTACATTAAAAAAAACCACACAGGTATTCATCTGAACTTTGCTTTTCCAAACAGCTGAGTAATATTTACAAGAATGAAACGATGGTTTCAGGCCCAGAATTTACCTGTGAGTGGTCCTCTCCGAGCACCTAGTGTCTCAGTCAATAACAGCCAAAGTTAATCCACATCTTTGATCAGCGTAGCCGGCAATTCCTTTGACTTGTCTCCCAAAGTGTAAGAATGCAGCTAACTCACCGATTTATTTCAGCAGATGCCACAAACTATGAGATTATTTACTAATCCAGTTTGAGGACTTAACTTTTCCCATTCAGATTCTTGAAGGAATGTAGGAGGGGTTGTGCCCCAGCCAAATAAAGCACATTTACTGCCTGGCTAGGTTCTTCTCTTAGTGCCTTGGGCCTACACTCCAGAGGGTAATATTCCTGCTAATCCCCCCTAATCCTCATTTACTTTTCTTTTTTTTTCTTTTTTTTTTTTTTTTTTTAAAACACAGAAAAGGATCACTCACACGGGGCGGCTGTGGGAAAACGGGCTCGAATATCTGACCCCTGACCTGCCTCCTCGTGCTCTCCGCAGCACCCACTTCTCCATTGTGCTAACCGCGCCAGGAGCGAGGGAATATAAACGCGGCAGCGGTGCCGAAGCCCGGCTGCCAGCACTGCCGCAACATGCCACGGCGGAGCTGTGCGCTCCGGCTGTCACTGCGCCCGTGCTACCGCCCAACGGAGAAATCCCACAGGCTGGTAGGGTTTCATGTCCGTGTTCAGCCACGGGATGGGCAAGGTAGTGGTACTGAAAGCACCTTGGGGGTTGCAGATTTTAAGAAGTCCTTCTACACAATAAAAATGTGTCAGATATTCAGAAGATGACTGGAAAAGACTGTTTCAGACATTACCAAAACGCACTTGCAGAGCTCTAATTTGAAACGGCTCGAGTATCAGTCTCCTAGCACCGTAAAACACCTTCCTAACTTCCCAAAAACCCAGCCTTGTAAAAGCATAACCCAAAACAAAGGGAAACCACCATTACTTTATCTGCCTTATGCAAAACGAAGGCATGTGCAAAGACAACGCTTTGATCAGACGCGAGGACAGAGGGATTTCTACTTTACATCCTCATTTAATTTTAGTCCACGGGACAGAACAGGCTGAAAATCCAAAACTCAGGTTTTTTTCCCCACTAGTCCAGTGTAACCCATCGGCAAGTGACTTGTTTGCTTCGGCTATGAACGTTTCAGAGCTCTAGAGAGCCAGCACCAATGAAATTCTGCCCTGCCATCTAATAAATCGGGTTTTTTCAAGGCACTCTTTTAATTAAAAAACCCAGAATGACGACTACGCAGTCAGAAGAGCAGATCAAACTGCTGAACACAGAATCAGTTTCCGTGACTGTCTGCAGAACTACAGACCACGTTTTGCTAGCAGCCCGTTTGAAATGGTATCGAACTTCTTTAAAAAGGTATCCGAGGCTCCTGAAACAACTGGAGGACATACAAAATAAAAGAACTTTTAGATAATGATAATGCGTTATAATCTTCTTCCCCTGAAGGCAGAGGCTAAAGCAAAAGCTGTCTGAGACTGTCTGAAATGAACTTGCTCCGCTCTTGATCAGTCATGCAAACAAGCAGCAATTTCTCCCAGCAATTAGCTTTCTCGGTGCACATTCTATTAGATTGGACAGGCAGACAGAATAGAGCGGCGGGATAATTCGAGCCTTCACAGCAATAGTCACTGGGACTCCATCATCATTTGCAGGGGATTAGGGCCGCGACTCAGCCAACCCCTCTGCTGTCAAGGTTTCAAACTGAACGCATCACCAGTACAGTAAAAAGCAACCCAAGATGTTATTTCCACCCAGCGCTTAGGGGAACCCGTATCTTGGCCACTTCCCGTAATGCCAGCCTGTAGTAATACCGACCCTTGACCTTCTTTACGCGTGGATGAAGAAAACAAGCGACTGCAGCTTTCTAGAGCCACGCTTGGAAGCGCAGCAGGAAAAAGTATTTTGGAGTGCTACGAGTGGCTATGGTTTGCAGAACTTAATTAGGCTTCAGGGATTTCAAATATCCAAATTTATATTTATTAATGCCTACCCTCACCCACTAAAGGGCCCGCAGTGCTACCCTACTGGGCTTTCCAATGAGTCACACAACTCTGAGAGTAAATTTTTTTGCAAAGACCCCTGTTTGATTGTCACCTACTGCAAACAACTAACCCTGGTCCCCAAACATTTACGATACAAACACGTGTGTGTGCGAGAACTCCACGGCTGGAGTTCTCAAGAAAACAGGGGGCTGGAAGGGCTCCAGCACCAAGATGATAACGTACGTGACTTTTTTCAGAAGAAAATAAAAAGTGATCCAACAGGAAATAAAATACTCTCACCTTTGGAACATGAGGGTTAAATTCCACAGCCCGGTGAATTGCTTCCACAGCATTAATTTCTGCTGTACTGAGCCCTCTTTTGGAGGCAGTTTCTGGGGAGAACCTGAAGGGAAAACCCCATGTTGAACAGAAGGAGTAAATAATAAATGCCATTTATTTGCATTGTAAGCTTGGAGTTCATTAAAAATTGGCTGATTTATCAAGAAAAATAAGCAAACCCTTCTAGGAGACAAATGTTAATTTAGGTATCTTGACTGTGACCCATGCCCAGAAGACAGAGTTGTGTTTAACCGAGTGCCCAGCCTCTCACACGACTGTCACAGCAGCACCCACTGGGAGCTGCAGCCAGAATCAGCTCTGCAAACAGTCCAGAACAAATGGGAACCACTATCCTCCCCATCCACAAACCAAAGGACTGCTGAACATCACCAGCAAGATGCTGGGAACAAAACTCAGACAAAACCATGTGTGTACATGGGCTCTTCAAAAACACAGTAGTATGTTTTTCACCTGTAGTAACCTTATGGATGCTTAAAAGAAGCTTTAAATTAATAGAACTACGCTCACACACACATATATATGTGTATATCAATACACCTAACTTGCTCTTCGAAATGAAACTGCTACGTATCGGATTTAGACCTTTTTAATTTGTATTTTACAGCACAACCCAAGATCAGCAACAAACCACTGCTCCACAGATGTGCTCGCTTACCTTTCTGAAACAGCTCTGGCTTTTAACAGGGCTGCTGTGTAGCAAATTGCTGCTGATTTTGGAAGACTGATATCTATGATAAAATGAAATAATTAAGCTGTAAGAGTCGAAGGCAAGACAAACATTTTAAACCCACCACCTCTGAGCTTAAAGATTTTTACTGGGGTACAGCAGACAATGAATGGAACATCTGGAACATTTCAGCGATGATGAGGAACTCTGAGTTTCTTTGCAGTCTTCCTTCTGGTCCCCAGTCATTATTTTTTCCTGTATTAACCCACAATGGTTTAAAATAAGCTTCTACTCTTTACCTGATTTTGCAACTGTACATTAACACAGGGTTTTACACAATACTGAGAGAGACTGACTAGAAGCTGACCAAAAAAAAATGACGTTACAGACAGGTAGATAATTCAGTGAAAATACAGTTTCCATTCTTTCCCAGTTCCGTGGGGAAAGATTCTTTCAGTTGTAGGTTTTTGTAGAATATCTGAGGCCAAGTCTGAGCTGACAATTACAGATTAGGTGGTTAGCACTCCACAGCACAAGTTTACTTTAAAAGCAGACAAAGTCTGGGGTCTAATTCCCAAGTACCACGTTGTGTATAGTCAGATGGCTCTTGCTTTTTTTGTAAATCCCATCCTGCGCTTGTCCATCACTTACTAAAGTCTGGCTGTCGTGACAAGCAAAACACAGAGGGGCTGCAGAGTTTGAAGCTCGTACTCATTTTTCCAGATGCTTAGAAAAAAAAAAAAGCAAATCAGCAACCCTTTCTTAAGAAAGGGTCACAATTCCCAGTGTTTACCATGAAGAGGCACCAGGAAAAGAGCAGATGGGTTTGTTAAGTTAATGAGAATCCACAGAGAACATCGTGGATGGTCAAGCAAGGGGAGCAGCTGCCAGAGCAGCACAGAATTTGGGCAGCATCATCATACTTCCGACCCCCTGAAGCAATGAAGAGCAGATACAGGAGAGAACACACCCATTTCTCAAGGGCAGGGAATGACTGCCACAAAACACTGCTTCGTTCGGAAGGGGACTTAAGGGGCAGCTTTGCCAGCAGCACGTTGTACACTAGTGATGTGGGCATTATCTGGGTGGCAAAACTCTGAGGACAGTAAGAAAGTAAGTATACATGTTATTAATCTCTGTTGAGACTTGCTCAACACCTGAAACGTGTTGAGATGGAAAGTGAAAGCAAACTACTGCCAGTTAATGGACCAAAGCTTGTGTACCACTAACCCCTGGCAAGCAGCGTGCCTGCACATTGCTGATCTCCGGGGAAACACCTCAGTATCAGTCACAATGCCCAGCCTGGAAGATGACAGAAGGAAAAACTACATTTTCCAGCTTATTTACATCAGTTGCCTGGGGACTATGTGCCGACTGAAAAAGTGATGAATGCAGGCATAACCAGGGATGTAGGGGAGCGTAAAAAAATTAAAATAACCCTTGAATTGAAGTAGTGAGCGCCAAGATTTCTTTACAGATTAGAAATAAACTAAAACCATAAAAGGTAATTAGTATGCAATTTAGCTTGCCTCAATCTGACCTCACCATTCAAAAGAAAAAGCTTGATTTGCACCCTGGAAGCGCCTATTTGCTGCTGATGAAGGGAATGAGCCGAGTGGCTGAGGCGACGGGTAGCCACCTGCTTTTGGAAGGCACCACCTCTGACCCGGAAACACTCGCCGTTCCCAACAGCCACCCCTTACCATCATACTTGGCTAAAACTGCCTGGGCATCTGCGTAGGCCTGTAACTCCAGCAGTGCCTCCAGGAGGTTTTCATGGATGTTCAGCATGCTGAGAAGTGGAAACTCTTTCATCAGCTGAAATCAGCGAAGAGAAATAAATTAAGCCGGTGGAGGACTGCACTTGAATCCCTGAAATACAAAATCTAATTTAATAATTTACATAATTTAAGCTTTTTCAATGCTCTGTTCTTTCAGAGTGTTAGAAACTGGCACGTAAACAGCATGAAAATAACCACACCACTTCTCACATCTCACATTGTTCCCATATTCACCAGCGGAAAACAAGCCCATGGAAGTGCACAGCGCGCTCTCCGCACGAATCCGCGCAACTCCCACAGCGAGTTGCTTGGGTCAGTAATATTTTCCTATGAAAAAGGAACTTATGATACATCTCAGGCTGAGAAAGTGAAAGAAAAACCATGAAGTATAAAGTCAGCTGTTTGGACAGGTCGGTCACAGAGTCAAGCATGAAGCAAACTGGGTAACAGAACTGTGAGCATATGACATCATATAACAAAAATTTAAAACCTACGTGTAGGAAGCAAAAAGCTGTTCCAAAAAAAAAAATCGTGAATCACGATTGCAAATCTCATTGGAAAATAATTCAATTAGATTAATTATGATGCCTAGAGAGGAAGTTAAACCATCAGGTTGGGCAATGTGACTGAAAACAAGCTGCTCGCTTTTTTGTTTTTACTTACATCTCTCATCATCTTTACCGCTTCTCGTATCCTCCCCAGCTTTCTTGCACACATCGCCAGTCTCCTTTTCACATACACCAACACATTGGTGTCTCTTCCTGATTAGAGAAAAACAATTAGCCAACCAGTTTCCTTCCCTCTCTCTCAAAACAAACAAAAGGGCCCACACCAAAAACCCCACAAACTCTTCCCTAACCACATGTGAAAACACAAGGTGATCACTGCAGCTGCCCCAGCCCAGGCCCATCGACCCAAACCCAGCAAATTTCAACAAGGTTAAATGACGAAAGAGTTTGGGTTTTTTTTTTTTTTGCAAAAGGTTGGGTGGAACTAAAGAAGGTGCTGCTGACACACGAACTGCTTTACCAGTCTGCTCTACCCATCCAACTTTTCAAGACAACAACGGAACGAGCCTTGGCGAGACAACCCACGATGAACACGCAGCATAACCTCCTCAGATACCCCACAGATCCCAGCACACCACGCATAAGCACGGCTAAACCAGTAGGAACTGCCTCCCTGAACTGGGAATCAAACTAGAACCACTCATTGTAACTTCAGTTTTCCATTTCTGCTTACACAAACCCAGGAGTCTGAGACTCAGAAGTCCTTACTCAGCTGCGCTTCGTGCTGGGGACTTTGGGAATGGCAGTTCTGAGACTTCCTGTAGATCATTTCTCCCGCTTTCAGAGCCTGCTTGAAATACTTCTCAGCATCTACAATAGTCGTGGCTTCTTCCTCAGCCAGGAGGACATATGCTGTGGCACAACTGTAATATGGGAAACACACACTCATTATCCTGAAGGACAAAGTTTAGTATTTTTGAGTTAAAAGCATTAGATATGGGCATTTTGCACTCATGTTCAATATCTAAGCACTGCCGATATCAAAGTACCAAAATACTGAGCTGAGTTCAAATGGCAAGTGTCAGGAAAACAGAAACCTTCCCGTTTTACAGAAAACCCCACCACTGGAGAAAGACCAAAAGACAGAATTGTACCAGCAAGGCAAATTATTTCCCTTGAAATATAAAAAACGCTCTGACAATTGTCTGGAGGGCTTTTGTGTTTGGTTTGCTTTGCTGCTTTCAAAGCAGGAAGGAGACATCTCACAAGGAAACGAGACTACGTAACAAAACGGATCACAGAAGCGCATGGAAATCTTTGGTTTGTGCTATGAGTGTTTCTAAATCCCTTCAGGATAGGCGCCTGTGAAGGCCAAGTGCAGTACTACCACAGCACCATCCCCCAAACATCTACGATCTCAGAGGCCATTCAGACTGTTCCACAGCCACAAGAGTTCCCACCTGTTACTGCTAAAGACTTAAAAAAAACCTTTCCCGAGAAAAAGGGAGGACAGAAGTTACTTTTTCCAGTATCTGAAGGGGCTACAAGAAAGCTGGGGTGGGGGGACTTTTCCCAAGGGCAGGGACAAGGGGTAACGGGTTTAAACGGAAAGAGGGAGATTGAGATGGGACATCAGGAAGGAATTCTTCCCGCAGAGGGTGGGGAGGCCCTGGGACAGGTTGCCCCGAGAAGCTGTGGATGGACCA